TAGATAGATGATAGATAGGTAGATAGATGATAGATAGATAGATAGATAGATAGATAGATAGATAGATAGATAGATAGATGATAGAGATGAGAGCTAGATATGGATATGTTGCTTTTGTTGTTAAGTTCTGTTGCATTCATTCTGACTCATAGTGATATGTATAGGGTTTCAGAGGAGCAGCTGGTGGGTTTGAATCACTGATCTTGTGGTTAGCAGTCCAGTGCTTATTTTATAGTGCTATACCAGGACTCCAGGTATGGATATGGATATTTGCATATGGTTATAATATATATATATATTCTGGTAATTTAATACCACATGCCAACACAGCTACCACAATTCTGCTCAATCAATATCACCATGAATACAACCACAGCTGCATTCGAGTGTATCATCCCCTACCCTGTGTCTACCCACATCTGCTCCAGTGACCATCACACTTCTTGTTAAGTGCGTTGAGTTGGTTTTGACTCATAGAAACCCTGTATAGGGTTTCCAAGGAGTGGTTGGTGGGCTTGAACTGCCAACCTGTAATTAGCTTATCCTACAGTGCCACACTTATATATAAACACTTGTGTGTATAACTAAATCAGAAGTGGCCTCTCTGTGTTGGCTCCAGGTTGCTTACTTTTTCATAGCAAGCTGAGGCCCATTAACCAAAAAAGCCTGTTAGCACCAAACTCAAATTTGTACACTTCTAACAAGACGGATTGGCACCCCCAATGAGATGGATTGGCACAGTGGCAGCAGCAACAGGCTCAGGTGTAGCAGTGATTGTGAGGTTGGCACAGGACTAGGCAGGGTTTCATTCTGTTGTGCATAAGTCGGTAGCGACTAGACAGCATCTAACAACAAAAATTATTTTTAAAATAGTCCAAATATGCAGATATTTAGCCACTTTAGAACCTGCTTGCTTTATATACCCCATAAAACGAAGCCTGACATCTGCTAGTGTTGTTGTTGTTAAGTGCCATTGAGTCATCTCCAACCCATAGTGACCCTGTATAGGGTTTCCGAGGAGCAGTTGGTGAGCTTGAATTGCCGACCTTTCAGTTCAAACGGATTCACAGTTGGTGCATTAACACACAGCACCACACCAGAACTCCATCTGCTAGTGTTAGATGAGATAAAACCCTCAGTTATAAGGACACCTGGACTCCTGGTGTGGTGCTGTAGGATCAGCACTGGACTGTGAGCCATAAGGTCAGCGGTTCAAACCCACCAGTTGCTCTTCGGAAACCCTATACAGGGTTGCTATGAGTCGTAATCAACTTGATGGCACTTATAATATAAGGACACCCAGCTGGGTCTGTCCTTTGGTGGGCTCTGATTTAGAAACTCCTCACCTTGCTACAGAAAGTCATACAATAGGCACATATAAGCCCCGCCCCTTCTAGCCCCTGAAGATTATTTTTGACAATCTTACCCTCCTGGTGTGGTGCTGTGGGTTAATGCACCAGACTGCAAAGCCATTTGAACTGCAAGGTTGGCAGTTCAAGCTCACCAGCTGCTCCTCGGAAACCCTATACAGGGTTGTTATGGGTCGGAATCAACTCAATGGCACTTCACAACAACAACCCTCTGGTGGTTCTTTGTGTCCCTTGCCTCTGTGTTAGGGACTGTCCCCTACATGCAATTGTCAATGTGTCTACCCCAATAAATAGCTTGTTGTACAACACTACTATTTCATGGTCATATCTTTTTCCCTGATCAGCTTCTAACTCCCTCAAACTCATTATACTTAGTATATGAGATTCTTTTACTTTTGTTCCATACACAGCCACCACTATTGGATCCTGTCACACTTACGACTATTCCTTCAGGAGATCTTAGCCTTCTTTCTCCAGCAACTTCATCCATGGTTGAATCATCCTTTCTCTAAGTAGACCCACTTCTGCTTGGGAGGCCAATGCTAAAATAGTAACAGATTCTACCATACTCACCTCAGACATGATTCATTTCACTCAATCCACTACTAATACCACTGTTACCATGACCATGAGATTATACTCTATTACCTCTGCGATAATAACCACATCTACTCTGATGTCTTTGTGCTATACCAAACATATCTCAAAGGGATGATTTTAGCAAACAGAAACTTATTTTTTCACAGTTAAAAAAAAACTAGAAGCCTGAATTCAGGATGCCAGCTCTGTGTGGGAGATAGGAGAACTTCTCTCTCTTTCGACTCTGGAGGAAGATCTTTGACTCTTTTGAGCTTCTGTGACTTAGCACATCACTTCCCCTTCTCTGTTTGCTCATTTGTTTTATTTTATATCTCAAAAGAAATTGTTTTAAGACACACTGGAGTCCTGGTGTGGCGCTGTGGGTTAATGCACCAGAATGCAAAGCTGTTTGAACTGCAAAGTTGACAGTTCAAGCTTACCAGCCGCTCCTCGGAAACCGTATACAGGGTCGCTATGGGTCAGAACTGACTTGACAGCACTTAACAACAACAACTACATTAATACTGTCTTAGTAACTTAACAGAGAAAATCTATTACCAAATGGAATTATAATCACAGGTTAGGGTTTACAACATGTATTTTGAAGGGGCACAACCCAATCCATAAATCTAGTAACCATATTCAGCTGATTCTGACTCAATCATCTCTACTCTAATAGTTAAACCTGCCTCTATGTTATGTTATGCTCTGTCATCTTTCCCCCCAGGCACCAGGACCACTGAACAGCAATCATCCCCTTCCATCTCTGCCACCACAATCTCTGGAGTGGACTCCATGACACCTACTATGAGCTCCACCATTCCTGGAACATTTCTGGGAACATCCACTAATGGCGCAGCACCTACCACCTCACTCCCAAGTCTGAGGACCACTGAGCTAGTATCAACTCATGGGCCAAACAGTACTCATGGAAATAGCACTATCTCCCATAAAACAGGCTCAGTGACCACACACACAAGCATGGTTAGTGTGAGCCACACGCCAACAACTGTGATGAAGCCAAGTGGATATTTGCAGCCTTGGGGTATCATCCTCATTTCTCTGGCTGCAGTCATGGTCACCGTCGGACTGCTAGTGGGACTATGTTTTTGCCTGGTGAGTATCTAGGATGGGCTAATGGGGGGACATGCATGGAATTATAGATCATGAGTAGGAGTGGAATTCATGGACATAGCGCTGTTAGGATATTCAGAATCAGATAGGAGTAAAAAAGTTGAGATGTTAGGAAAGGAGAAAAGAATCATATAACATGTTTTCATATAAAAACCAGAAAAGAGTTTGTCAAAGAAAGTGACAGATGTAGAGGAAAGTAGAAAAAGGGAAGGCAAAGGAGACAGTGGAGGACAAAATGAAAGGAAACTGTGTTGGTAGAGGAAAAGAGGAAGCACAAAATTTGGAAGGTAAAATATTTAGCGCTGAAAGGAAATACTCCAGGATATGAGGGGAGGGGTCTTTAAGCTCTCTGTTTCCTTACTTCTATTATAGATTTTAATATTTGTTATCCATGAGACAAGGAGTCCCTGGCTGGTACAAATGGTTAAATGCTCAGCTACTAGCCAAATGTTAGCAATTGAGAACACCCAGGAGCTCCTCAGAAGAAAGACCTGATGATGTGCTTTCTAAGGCC